GTTGACATGAGGTCGGTTCTTTCAAACTTCGATTTCATTACGAGCTGGCACATCCTCCTGACTCTTTGGTGAGCTCATCATACCGAGGTGTCGTCCCGATACCGAGGTGGCCCCAGAAACAACTCCTCTTAATTCGGAATTTCAGCGTTTAGCTAAAACAATCTTCACTAATCTTCATTAATTAGCATAATTCGAATCTAATATCAACATGTAGTCAACGGATACTTGGGTATGTGCAACCATTGATTCAAACAAAGAATGTTGTATATATTGAAGTGTTCGATAATATATGATACTTTATTTTCACAATATTTTTATTGCCATGATGATTATTTTATTAGACAAGCTAAATACATAACCACTTTTTAGAAAGAAAGTAGGTCATAAATCATCTCGTACATCGGTAAGGTTGCTCACTGGTTTATTGTAATTAAACTAAATGATAAAAATAATATAAGTTAAAATATAAAAAAATGAATAAATGTAAAATGATGAATTATTTATTTATTTAAAAAAAATTAAGTGGACAAAAATAAAAAAGGGGGTCGACAAAAATAAAAAGCACGTATTTTGGGAATACATTTTTCAATAATAAACGTATTTAGAGAATACGTTTTTACTTGTAAAACGTATTTACGGAATACGGTTTTCTAAAAAAAATTAACGTAATTAACGTAATTAAGTTAATTAAAATAGGGAAAAACGTATTACCGAAATACGTTTTAAGTTAAAAAAAAAAGACGTATTATTGAAATATAGTTTATAACTAAAATTGATTTTACATTTATGTTTTAATTATACAACGTATTCTTGGAATACGTTTTATATATAAAATTAATATTTACAATATTTAAAAACAAATTTTTTCAAAAAATAATATTTCAAAAAATAAAACGTATTTTCAAAATACGTTTTTTACCCTAATTTTTGCCACAAATTGATTTTGCCCTAATTTTAGCCCCAAATCTATTTTGCCCTAATTTTGCACAGTAAAACGTATTTTTGAAATACGTTTTCTGTTAAAAAAAAGAACATATTTTCATAATACGTTTTACTGTGCAGAAACAGCACTATGCAGAAAAAAATTACAAAAACACACATGTTAATCGAGATCGATTCCACAACCAAATATTAATTCCACAAGCTCATATCAATCCATTCGTTAAAGAAAGAAAAGTGAAGCACAATAATTCATTGTCCAAATATAAAAATCCAAATAAGTCCAAATATCATTACACATAATCCACCAAGAAAGAAAAAAATAAATATATATGTCCACAAAATTCCCGGAATACAACACAACTAACTAGGAGTGTATCGATTCGTAGGGTTGCACGGTCGGGAGCTAATCCGACGCCGTGGTGGTCGTGAAGAAGACGATGCTGTGGGCGTGGTAGGTTCTTCTTCTTCTTCTTCAGCTGAGTAATTCATTTTTTTAAGAAATCAAAAATTCGACTTAACAAAAATCACAAAAAATAAATAAAATTATATTTTTGTTAAGTAAAAAATGTTTACCTTCTTCTTGTTCTTCCTCAGGCCCGGTGTCGGCAACAGGTTCGCGGTGACGTCATCTTCTACCTCCACGAATGTGGGCAGGAGATTGATGCCTCGCCCGGTGTGACTGCGTCCTCTGGGGTTGGACGTAGCCCTCCTGTGATAAGACTTGGCTCGACGACGTCCCTTGACCGATCTCTCCGCCTTCGACAGTCAGAGAAGTGAAGAGAAGGTTCTTGGCATGTTGGATTGCCGCCTGCATCTCCGGATGGGCTGTATGATATAGGTGCTCAACATTGGATAACACATTATAAGCCGCCATTCGCTTGAAAATTAAATTCAAAGCAATTTGTATGAAATGCAAAAAATAAAATAATAATAGAAAAAAAAACACAAATTATGATCACTTACATCGCACTTCCCATGCTCGGCAAGTGGCTGATAGCCTCCATCCTGTTGTACCACCGGGTACTTGGCAGGGTCACTGATTAGTCTCACAGTCCTACTGTGAAACCAATCAAGGTAACCCTCGTCAGGCTGTACGAATGACTCCACACGCTCATCTGGGAGGACATTTTGGTGTCTTTGTTTGACCCAAACATTCCCAAGCTGGGAATGAAAGTCGACCCAATCATATACTGCCCTCCCGGTCATTCCCTGGCCTCGGTGGTGTGTCTCCCAGTCGACCTCGCCAGTAATGATCGGAGTGTCGGGGATGGACTGATGACACCCGAACTGACGGAGGACCCTACCCAGCTCTTAGGTTTCACGGATGTTCCAACAGAACATCCAGCCCCTACACATCCAGAGGCTTGAATGTTCTGTACACTGGGCCGGGAGAGCATTAGCATTCAGGAGATGTTCATACGACATCTAATCGAACTGTAAAAAACCAAAAAAAAAATTAAACTAAAATAAGAATTAAGTTATTAAAAGATAAAACACATAAAACAAAATATAAATAATAATCAATAATACTTAATAATAATCTTACATCCGTCTCTCTTAGCTCTGTCAGTTGATCCCGGACAGCGGCTGTTCCAGTGACTATGTGTCTTGTGTCCCTCCGTCCCGCCCACCTTAGAAATCATAGAAAAAAAAAACACTTTGTAATCACAAAATCTGATAATTGAAATAATCAAACTATAAAATATATAAATAAATGTCATTACCTTCCACCTAAAGGACAACCAATGACTCTTTCAAAGTTCGTATCCCTCATTCTCGGGCAAAGCCGAGGGATACGTTCCCATGCCCAAACCTACAGATATCGACATTATTCATTTGTTATTAAATAAGTCTAAATTAGAAAAAAAAAAATGAATTTTGAAATAACAAGTAATCAAATGTACCTGAATCAATTGGACATAGCTCTTGATCCAGCTTTCCCCGGTCTGGTAGCTTGTGCACAGCGCTCTATACACTGCGGCCAGGAGCGCCGACCCCCAGCTGTACTCCTTGATCTTATCGATGTCTCGCAAGAGCTGGGTCCAGTACAGGTTGACTCCACAGTCCCTCTGGTCGGGAAAGAAAAAGGATCTAAGGCACCAGAGGATAAGGGCCCTCTCCCTCTCTTCGTAGGTCGTGATGTGTTCTCCATCTTGCAGCACTCTGTTGCATTCGATTTCTAACCTCGAGTGCTTCAGATACTGGCCTACAATGCTCCAATTTTTGGGGTTGGTTGTCGGGTCGTCTGCTTCCTAAGAGTGGTTTATATACATTAAAAACCAAACAATGGATTATACATAAACAAACAAAAAAAAAAAATTGTGTTAAAAAATTTACCTGGGGGTCAAACCCTAGAATCTCCACACACTCATCACGTCATTGCTGGTTTGTAAAATCTACAGTCTGTCCCCAGATGCTGATCCGCGATTACTAGCGATTCCAACCGGGAGACCAAACAGGACTTGTACGTCCTGGAGCGTGATCGTGGCCTCCCCGAAATCAAAATGGAAGGTGTGCGTCTCCGGTCGCCACCTTTCCACCAGACAGGTATGTAGGCTGTTGTCGGTCTGGACTCTGCCCATTCGAAACAACGGCCCAAAACCCGTCCTATCGATCACCTCTAAAACTCTGGGATGTTGTTTGTCCAACACCTTCCAAAATTCAGTGTCTTTACGGCGGTTTTTAATGGTGTCGTTACGACATCCCCGTAAATCTTCATATACCGCTCTCGACCGGTGGCGGTACTGAAGGTATAAAAGGGAAGGATCACTCGGACCGGGGTGTACATTCAACCGCTGAGGTTGTGACGAGGACGATGATGCCATTTTCTACAAAAACCAAAAAAAAAACCAAATTGACAAATTATATACACAATAAATTCACAAAAACACAAATAAATTATATACACAATAAATTTAAAATTGACAAATCATATACACAATATATTCACAAAAAGCACAAATAAATTAGCCCTAATTTGAAATAATTCGAAGCCCTAATTCACAAATAAATTCACAAATCACCAATAAATTCACAAATTGACAAATAAATTCACAAATTCTCACCAATAAATTCACAAATTCACAAATAAATTCACAAATTCACCAATAAATTCACAAATAAATTCACAAATTCACCAATAAATTCACAAATTCACAAATAAATTCACAAATTCACCAATAAATTCACAAATGCAACATATCTCAAATAGTTCGAAGCCCTAATTCAAAGAATTATTCTTTTTTTTTTTCCAACGATATAAGATCTCCATAGAAATAAAAACATCAATGTACAAAGGGGAATCCCCTACTCTTGGGTAACTGGGAGGCCTAGCTAAAACAAGCTGCCTAACCGAAACTAATCCAAATACCAATCAAAAGCCATACAAATGAAAGCAAACCAATCAAGAATCTAGAACACATCATCCCAACAGCAATAAAAAAAGAAGAGTTATACAACAAAGGGATCAAACAAATAGACCACTGACACTAGACCTAGCCTACTGCAAAAACCCCTCTGTTGCACTTCAATCTGACTTTCAGCCTGCTGCATTATAGTCTTGCCAATCCCTCATTGCTGCCTCTAAGATCCACCTTTCATGTTGCCATTGTCTTTCAAATTCCCAAAGGTTTCTAGCCCTCCAAAGCCACCACAATATGTAGGTAGACAATTGGATCCTTTCTTCGGAAATGTCTTTGAAATTCATTGTACAAATCCACCACCACCATTCTTTGAAACTCATATTATCCTGCCGCACTCTGTTCCATTTCACTGGGGCAAGATCCCAAATCAATTTTTCTCTCCTACACAGAAATAACACATGCTCTTGAGTCTCCTTCCCTTCCCCACAGATTCTGCAAACAGTGTCAACTTCCATCCCTCTCTTTTCCAGATTGGTGCTGACAGGTAAGATATTAGTGAAACACTTCCAGATGAAGTGCTTCACCTTTCCCATCACTTTCAGAGACCAACACCTCTGCCTAGCTCTCTTATTTCCACTAGCCAACCTACTGCATTCTGCCTCATTCCTCAGACCTGGTTCTGTGTCCAACAGCCAACTATAAGCTTTTTTCACAGAAAATTTTCCTTTCCCCAGAAATGAACAGTTCCACTGGTCTGCCTTTCGAGGATTCAGAGATTTTATCTGCATAATCAAGGAAGCATCCTCGGAAAAAATGGCTCTTATCAGGATTGGATCCCACTGAACACCACCAGCTATAAGCAAGTCTTTCACCCAAAATGTGCTACCATTTATATTTGCTGTCAGTTTAGGAGCACTTCCATTTAACCCAGGCACCCAAAAACATTCAGAGATTGAAGTATTGGCACCATTTCTGATGATAATATTCACCTGTCTTTTCAATACAGGCAGCAAAGTAGTCCAGGATTTCCACAACCAAGAAGCACCACCATTTTTTTGGCAATCAAACATAGAACAGTTAGGAAAGTACTTACATTTCAACACTTTGCTCATAAGTAATTCTGGTTGCTCAAAGATCCTCCACAGTTGCTTCAGAATTAGTGCTCTATTAAAAAGCTTGATATTCTGGAAACCCAGCCAACCCTCACCTTTAGGCAAAGTCATCTTATCCCAGGTTAACCAGTGCATACTTCTGGATTGGTTATTTCCCTTGTCCCACCAAAACTTAGCAAGTAATCTGCACACCTCCTTACACACATTGACAGGTAATAGGAAACAAGACATCACAAAAACAGGAAGAGCATTTAACACTGCTTTGATAAGAATCTTCCTTCCAGCAGAAGAGAGGAAATTATTCTTCCAACTACCAATTCTATCTCTAACAGCCTCAACCACAAATTGAAAAGTCTCAATCTTAGATGCCCCAATCCCTAAAGGTAATCCCAGATATCTGGAAGACCTTTTCACAACACACCCTGCAGTAAAGAACAGATCCTATGCTTCAACCCATCAGAACAATTCTTACTCAAAAACATGGAGGATTTGTGCAAGTTCACTTTCTGGCCAGTAAATTCCTGGTATTTTTTCAAGATATCCAGCAACAGAATACTGTGCTCCTCATCAGCCTTACAGAAAACCAAGGCATCATCAGCAAATAGCAAGTGAGACAACATAGGACCATTTTGAGATATCCTCACCCCCCTGAACTGACCAACATTTATTTTGTGGTGCAAATAACAAGAAAGCAATTCAGAAACCAGGATAAATAGATAAGGTGATAGTGGATCACCCTGTCTAATACCCCGAGAAGAAGTGACAAATCCACACACTGAGCATTAAGATTGAAAGAGAAAGTAGGATTGGCAATGCAACTATAAATCCACTGCACAAACTTAACATGAAACCCCATCTTCAGCATAGTCTTTTTGATACTCTCCCATTCCACCCTATCATAGGCTTTCTCCATGTCTAATTTCACAGCCATAAAAACATTTGAACCAGACCTGTGTCTATGCAAAAAATGGAAGACCTCATGTGCTATCACAACATTATCAATCAAGTGTCTTCCAGGCACAAAAGCAGTTTGAGATTGACTAATACATGAGTCTAAGCAAGGTTTTAACCTCTCAGCCAACATTTTTGCCACAATTTTATAGAGAACTCCACACAAGCTAATTGGTCTGTAATTGGTCAGATTCTCAGGATAAAGACACTTTGGAATCAGAGTAATTATGGTGTGCTTCCAGTTTTTCAGAAGATGACCAGTGATGAAAAAACTTTTGATAGCTCTACAAATATCAATCTTCAAAATGTGCCAAAAATGCTGAAAAAATATAGCTGATATACCATCATCCCCAGGAGCTTTCTCAGAGGCCATTGCAAACAGGGCAGCTTTAACTTCTTCTTCCTCCACCGGTTTGATGAGATCATTGTTCATGGCATCAGATATAGAACAAGGAATTTGTTGCAACAGTTCAGTTCCACCTCTGGATCCATCATACGTGAATAGATTAGAATAGAATCCAGTAATGTAAGCTGCCATTGAATGTTGATTGTCACAGATTTGACCAAAGCTGGTTTTCAGCTTGAAGATAATGTTTCTTTTCCTCCTTTGGGCAGTGTGAGCATGGAAGTACTGAGTATTTTTGTCACCATATTTCAACCACAAAGCTCGTGATTTCAATCTCCAGTAATTCTCCTCTTCTTGGTGAGCACTATCCAACTCAGCCTTCATTGCACCCCATTCTCTCCAATTTCTGTCAGGACCCTCCATTCTCATATCCTCCATTTTAGTGGTTAGCTCTTTAATCGTAGTAGCACTGTTTCTATGTATTGGTTTGTGCCATGCTAGCAAAGCCATTCTGGTATTCTTCAATTTTTGATGCACCTGGTACATAGCAGTACCCTCCACTATTCCCTGCCAACCTGCTTCCACAGCTTCTTGAATCCCCTCCAGTTTAAGCCAGTGACTATTGAACTGAAACCTTCTGTGGTGCTTGAATGCATCTTTCTCAGTGTCAAACAAAATGACATTGTGGTCAGATGCAGTCCTGAAGAAATTTGACACCTCCATATTTGGAAATCTGGCCATCCACTCGAAGAGACAAAAACTTTGTCCAACCTTTCCTCAATATAGTCCCCACTGGACCTATTATTACCCCATGTAAAGAAAGAGCCTTTTTGATCCACCTCACACATCTTCATCCTAAAAATGAATTGATTGAATGGTATAAAGCTTGCAGCACTTCTAGGGATTCCACCTCTCTTCTCATGGTTACTAGAGATATCATTCCAATCTCCAGCAATCACCCAACAAGGTCCCCACTGACTCTTACAAGATTCAAGGTATTCCCACTGCCTAGATCTGGTATTCTTATCTGTACTCATGTAGACAAAGATCATCCAGCACCATTCAACCATGCCTTTCCCTCTTAGTTCCATTTGAATACAGAACTCATTCCCCACAACCACCTTCACTTCTACCTCAGAGTCCCACATTACTAACAATCCTCCTCTAGTATCAACAGGATCTTCTAGATACCATCTCCCCTTGAACCCCAATTTGCTACACACAGTCTTAGTAAAAGCCCTAGATTTTTTTGTTTCAGAAAGGAAAATTACCTCTGGGTGGTGGATTCTTCTGGAATCCTTGATTTGGGAAACTGTAGAGGGCCCACCCAGCCCTCTACAGTTCCACACCATGGCCTTCATTGGTCACCTTGGGGCCATTCAAGGCTGGCCTTCTCCACCTTCATTTTTCCGTGGTTAATTTTCTTGTTAGACTCTTTAAGAGCTTCCTCAATTAGATCTGAATTCCCTTCATAAATTATTAAATCTCTGTTCCTCTTACTGCCAACAGTATTAACAACCTCCATCTGCACTTCTTCCACCCTCAGCAACCTGCCATCAGCAGATGCTCTTCTTTTCCATGATGACCCTGGTTTAGCCCTGAGCAATGGCACTTCATTTACTTGTTGTTTTCCATGGTTGGTCTCACCAAGCTCTTCTACTACATCAGTCTCCATTGTGATAGCCTCAATGTAGTGAGTCTCCTGCAAGTCCTTTTTCTCCTCCTCTCTACAGACAATAGCAAGATTTGGTATTTCATGTTCTTCAGGGTGATGGAGATGTTGATGTTCCCCCACTTGCTGTTGTTTGGATGAACTACCACCAATTCTGGCCTCCTCAGATTGAACAAGAGCTGGGTTTACAGTGACAGGTTCCCATGAGCCCTGATTAGAGTTATGTTTTGGTGGTGTCTCATTCCTTTCTGAAGTGCCAGAATAAGTACTCCTTCCTCCAGGTAAAGTTTCTGTTGCTTTCAGCCACTCACCAAATTGTCCCTCGACTACCGTTCGATTTTCAATGTCTTTGATTTTCTTTTCACAGCCTCGGTCCAAGTGGCCAATCATACCACAATAGTAACATAAATTAGCTAACCGTTCATATCTGAATGCTACTAACACCTTTTGATCTCCAAGCTTAACTGATGTGCACCTGGGTATGGGTTCATTTAGATTCATCGCTACTAGAAGTTTAATGAAACTTCCAACTTCCCCTCCAGCTTTGCAGATCACAACATTCTTCACCGCATTAAAAATTTGGCCAATCTTAAGGCCCACATCTGTACTCATCCAATTAGGGGAACATTACTAACTTGCACCCAAATATTTATCTCCTCGAAGCATTTGTGCTTACTATTCAACCCCGGAAACCACTCCTTAAGAACAATATATTGATTTTCATAGAGCCAGTTATGGCCAGCCGCTACCTTCTTCTTATCCTCCAATGAGTTGAAAATAAACTGGAAGAAATTGGAGCTAACCTCTTTGACCTCCATTGATGTTTGCAGCTTCCAAATAAATCCCATTGTGCGTTTAATTCCAAGAATACCAGCCCTCCGGTCACCAACTACTTTCCCGAATAAGCTCATGTTGCATTCCTCTTCACTAGCCTTAATATCCTCATTACGAATTTCAATCTCCCCTGCTTCCTTAGCCGATAATGATATTGCTTGCAGTTTCCTCATAAGCCCTTCCGCCATATCTCCTCCTTTAGCCTTCCCCATTGATGTTTCCCCCATATGATAAATGCCGAACCCTAACAATCTAACCAATTGAACTTAGACAAAGAAAACGAGAACTAACTCACTCTGGATAATCTAACTGGTACTAATTACTTCTGATCGAAATCACTGGTCCTTCACCGAAGGAATTTCATACTCCCATGTGAGAGAATTTTTGCTCCCATGTTAGAGAATTTGTTGAGTATTGAGGCTAACATAATTCAAAGAATTATTCAAAACCCTAAATTTAGCCCTAATTTTAAATTATGGAAAAAAATTGAGAAAATTAACGCAAATGTACCTTATATAAGGGAAGTAGGCGCGGCAGCGACGGCGGCGGTGCGGCGCGGCGGCGACGGTGTATTTTTTCTTTCTTTTTATTTCCGATCTCTCCTCTGCTCTCTCTTCTCGTCTCAGCTCTCTGTCTGTGCTCTCTGTGTGTGTAAACGTTTTACTTTTAATTTAGTTAAAAGTAAAACGTATTCCCAGAATACGTTTTACAAATATTATTAAAAAATGGTAGGAGGACCCCAGATTCGGGACTCGAACTCGGGTGGGCGAGTCCGTTATCTCTGGGCACACCTCCTTACCATTAGGCCGCTAGGCTATCGCGTTTATTGTTGCGCAAATTTTATTCTTATCCTTCAATCTGAACATATTAGTATAAACTATAAACTATAACATTTTACCATAAACTATAAACTATAAACTATAACATATTACTATAAACTATATATGTTATATAGTATATCATATAAACTATAACATATTAGTATAAACTATAAACTATAACATATTACTATAAACTATAAACTATAAACTATAACACATTAGTATAAACTATACATACTATATACTATATGTTATATGTTATATACTATATACTATATACTATATGTTATATACTATATGTTATACATACTATATACTATATGTAATATGTTATATACTATATACGATATACTATATGTTATATATTATATGTTATATACTATATACTATATGTTATATATTATATGCTATATACTATATGTTATATATTTTTTTTTTATACTATATGTTATATGTTATGGACTAATTCGAGCTTGATTACACTATAATTGACCGAGATTGTACTGATTTGACTTCAATTGGACTAATTCGAGTTTGATTACACTATAATTGACCGAGATTGTACTAATTTGACTTCAATTGGACTAATTCGAGTTCGATTACACTATATATACTATATACTATATACTATATGTTATATACTATATACTATATACTATATACTATATTAAAAATACTATATACTATATATTATAATATATATGTATATACTATTATACATATATTCATATTTATATAAATTATAATAATAGTTTATGGTAATATGTCATAGTTTATAGTTTATAGTTTATGGTAGTATGTTATAGTTTATAGTTTATAGTTTATGATAATATGTTATAGTTTATAGTTTATACTAATATGTTCAGATTGATGGATAAAAATAAAATTTGCCAAAAATAAACGCGATAGCCTAGCGGCCTAATGGTAAGGAGGTGTGCCCAGAGATAACGGACTTGCCCACCCGGGTTCGAGTCCCGAATCTGAGGTCCTCCTACCATTTTTTCTTAATATTTGTAAAACGTATTCGCATAATACGTTTTACTATTTTCTAATTAAATGTAAATCGTATTCACAGAATACGTTTTACAATTAATTGTAAAACGTATTCTGTGAATACGTTTTTTGTTTTTATTTTTATTAAAACGTATTATAAAATTACGTTTTAAACTGTAAGTTTAAAAGAAAAAACTGGTTTTTCCCTTCTTTAACCAAAAAATATCTGTTTTAAATATTCAAAACAACCAACTAAACAAAAATTAGAGAAACAAATCAACTAATCTACCGTAAATACCATCCAAACAATTCCAAATAAACCATCCAAACAAATTCAAATAAAATAAACCATCCAAACAAAACAAAATAACAATCCAACTAAATCCAAATGAACCCTCCAAACAAATCCGAATAAACACTAACAAATCTAGTTCCCCCACTCATCACGAAGTCTACACCTATCGGTGGGAGGATGTGAGGACGGACACTCATCGACAACATGATCGGGATTAACACTTCTTGAACACTGTCCCCTATCATTCCTGCGGCGCGCCCGACGATCCATTTGCATGCGATAGTGTCTCATTTGCTTGCGATCGGGTCCAGACTTCAAGATCATCCTCTCCCAATGTGGTATCAAATTCCATCCCACCGGCGCCCATGTATCCGCAGTACCAATTGGAGCAAAACCCCAATTTATAAATTGAGCTACCCAAGTCTCCGTCCAAAATGCATTATCGTACAATGACTTTGGATCAGTCCCGATTTGACGAGCTGCAGCTATTGCATGAGTGCACGGTTTCGTGTGTGTCTGCCACTTCAGACAACTACAACGTTTCTGGGGGTAATTAACCTTATAGCTGTTAACACAAACAATGATTTATATATATAAACATCCAAATATTTGAATGGAAAAAAAAACCATATACCTGTTTTGCCCTCTCCCACTAGCCCGAAGACCGGTTTTCACCTTGTACCTGACATTTCGGCGTTCACACATTTCACCTGATGGGTTACGGCTATACGCTCCAATTCCAAAAAGGCGTTATAGTGCTGAGTAGCAATGGGACTCATGCATCTCGTGGCCTTCATTTGTTGCTGTTCGAACAAATCCAGAGTTTTTTCCAATGTGGCCTGTACCAAAGCTCTGCACGGCAGGAACCTAACGCCTTTCAAGACGTTGTTGTAGCTCTCCGACATATTGGTCGTCAATGTGCCCCATCTATGTCTTCCTTCATCTCTATACAGGGTCCACTTGTTCAAAGGAATATCGAAAAAGTACTTGTGTGCCTGGGGATTAAATTCCAACAATCGTTGTTCTGTCGCTCGAAACTTTCGCTCCGACAACTGCGAACCCAAATCCCAACACCAATCACGCACTTTCCTATTCCTAAAGTTAGTGACCACGTTGCTTCGAAGGTGTCGAAGGCAAATCCAGTGATATGCAGCGGGTTCTTGCCAACCAACCAACGAGTCAATGGCACTGAGTATGCCGTTATCCCTGTCGGAGAGAACACAGATCTGTCGGTCGAACACAACATATTGCCACACATTTGTAAGGAAAAATGACCAGCTATCCTTGCTTTCTTCATCAACAATCGCATAGGCGATTGGCAATAGCCGCTTATTCGTTGTCTGTGCTATAGCCACAAGCATTTTTCCCTTGTACGATCCGCGCAAGTGTGTGCCATCGATGCTAATGACCGGCGGGCATCGTTGGAAGGTCTGAATGGCGGGACCAAATGCCCAGAATACAAATTTAAATTGTCTGTCTTGATACTGATGTGCCATTTCCCCACCCTGCCATTCCCATTGTACAACTGTGGTGGGATTCGCTCTTTGAAGCACGGCAAAAAACCTGCAAATTATAAAATGGTTTCATAAATAGATAAACATAGTGACCGACAAACGGCACATGTATTTGTAATTACTTTTTGCTTACCAAGGGAGTTCTGCAAAATTCGATTCCGAACAGCCATACACACGCTCGATGGGTTTTCTCCTTCCGTGCCACGCCTTCTTGTAGCTGACATCGACTTTCCAGCACTGTTTCACATCAGCCTGGATAGGTCTAACGTTGTAGTCCAGTTTCTTATTAATCTTATTAATTACAAGATTTGAAATCATACGGGCGGTTACGTTTCTGTGGTCATTTCTCTCGACCCGTTGCATACAAGTGTGTCTGTCAGTCCATTCAGTTAATTCCCACATTTCATGAACCCGTTTCTTAGTCACCCGAGCCTTCCACACACAAGGTTCATCTTCATTAGATCTGCAGACCACTTTGTATGACTTTTGATTAGAATCTATTGTCCGAACCTCCCTCAGCCTATCAACGTTCCAAGCCAAGATACCCGATTGTGCTTCTTTCTTGCTCCTAAAAACTGTACCCAAACGTATGGTCTCAATGTGGCCATTCCAAAATGGAAGAGCATACTCGTTCTCATCTATCTTCGATGGCTCCCATTCACCCATCTC